GAACATCTCCGCACTCCGTAGAATGAGCCCGGACTCATTCCGCTCCCATTCATTCTTTCCGTCTCCGCTCCTGTTTCCACTCCATTTCCATTCCGTCCCCTTCCTTCTCTCCGCCTGTGCGGAACCCATAGGAATACATGTATTTACCTAGGACTTATTTCCCTCTTCGCCGGATTGATCCCCGAGGCTCTCCTCGTGTTTCCCTTCCTTTTCCGTACTTCCCATTTAGTCTCCGTGTATATATACATTGCGCGTGAGGACTCCGTTTCCTCACGCTACAAAGCACCTTTCCACTATTCCTTGGTCCGCAGTGTGATTACCTCTACGTCCTTGTACGCTTGGGCCACTAGAGATTCTCCGCGCTGCTCGCCTTGGTTCCCACACACTCCGCGTCGCTCCCCGTCGGCGTCCTCCTGTTTTCCGTTGCTGGCCCTTGGCCTCCGTCGTCGACTCCTGACACTATATCTCCCCTGCTAAGTTTTGAGAAGTCACGCAGTCCGGAAAACGTAAGTTGTGGAAGCACAAGACACTTTCTGAGATTTTTTTTCACAACGTTTCGCTCATTTTGGATGTGCAGTCATTTTTGCACTAGGAAGTCCAGCAGTAGCTGTACTTCCGCGAGCTCTAACCTCACCTGACCACCCTGCATAGGCTCGTAAATTGAGCTCAGATGTATGAGCGGAAGCAAATTCACCACACAGAATTTGCTTACGGTTGCCTGTGATCACTCAGGTCTCACTTTGCGTCCTGGCGTCCTGGCACACGACGCTCACGGAACTTTGCCATTCTAATAGTATAGGAGCACGGAGACATCCTCTCACAGGATCCCATCGATTAGTGGTTAGATCATCACGTTGTGGCTTGTCCGAACCGTGGGGACGCGTGTTCAATTCACGCTGGGGTCATTTATTTTATCCTTTTTGCTTTGCAGCCAGGGCGAACATTTTAACGTCGGCGGTCACTTGTCGATCCCATCGATTAGTGGTTAGATCGAGGATTGCCGTAGGTCGTGGCGTTGAATAGAAATCAACCGCTGATGCCGTTGGCTTTGGACTCTGCCAGACTCCGCCAGACCGACGGAAGCAAATCATTTCCCCGAGGAAAGGTCCTTGCTCTCTCCCAATATTCCGATTAATGTTTCGTCGGCTCTTCTCGGATACACGACTACTTCCTCCCGCCAACCGCCATCACGTCGTTTCCCTTGCTAGGCCGAGATGTTTGCGCTTTCCGGAGACTCAAGGGCAAGAATTAATGACGGCAACGCCGCCGACGCACTCCCAGCTCGCTTCACGTGGTTCATGGCTCATTCTGGGGGGCGCGTATAATATAAGTGGCTTTAAACTAGAGGCTCGTTTGATCTCTTCTCCTGCCGAACTGGGCGCCACAAGAGGAGCGGGGGTCACTAGCTCTCAGAACAAGTTTTTGGCGTGGCAGCGGAGCCGATCTCATCGATGAAGGAGTGGGTTTGGATCATCGTGCTGTGGTTAGCATTGTAGCAAGTTTGTGGGGGTGCGTGTTCAGCTCATGCCGGGGTCGGTCGTATGACATCAGCACCTTGGACGGATGCTCATAAGCGACTTACAGGAGCTATACGCATCTAAAAACGATTTTCTTGTCCAAATCTCCAGCATATAAGGTTCATATAATGGCCATAAGCACGAGTAGGCTGCCATGTGCATATACCTAAGTTGCTGATGCATCGCCGCTCTCTTCTTTTTCTTCCACAATACCAAGACTAAAGAGTCGCCGGCCAGGGAGAGTTCCGTGCGCGTCGCTATGCGGCGCATTTCTGAAACTCGCAACGCACATCAGCAAGCACTTGGATCGATCAAGGCGGGCCAAGAAAGCCACTGCCAATGCAACACTGTGGATGAGTGTGGATGACGCCGACACAAGTGGCGGGCAGGCCTTGCGACTTATATATAGCCCAAATGCGATATCCGGATTAGCGCCTATACATATCTGCTGGTGGCTGGCCAATGTTGCGCCGTAGATCTCTCGCGATATCATTTCGGAATAGCTGTTCCGCCAGGCCCAGCTCCACGTCGCTGGCGAGTTGAGTCTGGCACACGGACTCGGCGCCCGCGAAAGCTGAAAAGAGGTAAGTGCGCCCCTAACGCGCCTCCCAATATTCATTTTCTCATTTCGTCGTGTGTAGCAACTTGCCGCGCGCTTGCAGCGCGTGTGCTCGGACAATCTCGATCCTCGATCCAGCGCCAAATCTCTTATTTGGTATTACATAAGTGCGCGTCCCAGTTCGGACACTGGGTGGTTCGGGCTCGCTACAAGACTTACTCGCTATGGCAGGTATGTGAACTTGCAGCCTTCGCGGTCCGAGCAGCTGCTTGGTGCGAGTGCGCGCTGTCACCCCGATTTGTGCGATGTTTTTGGAGTCTGTTTGCTTGTGTGCGAGCAGCCTGAATATGCGCATGCATGCTGGATGATCACGAGGACCCAGGCTTGCGCGGGTCGCTTCGTGCTGCTTTGACTAGGCGACCTACCAGACGGCTCCGCTTTGCTCTCCAAAAACAGCGGCTGCGCTTCACCCGCCGCTTCTCGTAGAAAACGTGGCGCATCTCCCCCGGGCTCTATTCAACGCTGGAGATAAGCGCATCGGAGAGGGCCTGTTCCGCTGAAACCCGGCCATATCTAGTAGAGTCAATATTCTCTTCTCCAGATACATCGGCGCCTTCTCATTCCGTTAGACATGGTGGCACTTGTCAAGTTTGACAGCCAATCAGAAATCACTCTACTTTCCTCCTATGCCACAGATCGCTGGGGAAAATTCCGCAAGCCCCAGGGTTGCTGGAAACATTGTTGGATTCAGCTGAGTATGTAGACGAAAAGCCAAAGTTCTTCTCCGATGGCTTTCCCCGCAATGTGCCATCACCACTGATCGAGGGCACGTTTCATAGCTTTTCCTGCTGTTTATAACTCCTTGTGAGCGGTATTTTTCTACTTACCCACCCCTGATATAATTACTCGTTAACATGGAGATGCCGAATCACTTGTTTAGGCGCCATCGATACACACTCCGTGAACGAAGCAAGGGGAGCTCGAGAAGGTTCAAAATATTATATCGTCACATACCGAAGCAAGTAATCTCTTGGCTATCTGGGGTCTACCGACCTGACCGCCTTCCGTTCCTTGACCCTTCGAAGTCAAGGTGTGTCAGCCAGAGTGGATATAGCGGCAAGTACCGACACACGCCAGCGCGGCTTCCGACTCTTCTCGCGTACTGGGACTTGGCGTCATTACTGCTGAAGCATTGCGCGTAGCACTCCTACCACTTCTCAACCGGGCGGAGTCATGAATATCACCCCGTACACAACGTGTTAGATGGGCTTCCAAAGGCTTCGGTGGAGGCCGATCCCTACTGTATCCTTGCCAAGCTTGGACATAACCGTACGGTGAGAAGGTATGCCCACCCCTTCCTTTGGAGCTTCTCAATAATAGTACCGCTGTGCGGGTGACGTAGGTTCGAACGCATGAGCGCGGTGCGCTGTAGCTCGAAGGTACCCCTATCACATAGGAAACCGTGAAAGGTTGTCTTGAAAGGGAGCCAAGCCCACTACTACGATTCACGCCGGGCCTCTCCTTCAACTCCGTGCAGGCCCTTCACACCCTGTGCGGACGCCGAAAGAGACGCCGGAGCGTATGGGCCCGTAAATGGTATGTGCAGCTCTGGTTCAACACCGAACCTTGACAATCCCTTTGTATACCCGGGGGACCATTTCACAAGTGGGATTGCTCGCGGAAGGTTTTTTGTCAGTAGGAGTGGTAGCTGGCGTTGTGCCAGTGGGGGTGCGGTTCTAGAACCGTTGTCCCGGATGTCATTGCTTTGATCGTCTCTTTTCTCAGGACTTGCAGACCCTGCACAATTATACCGACCCTTGAGAGCCCTTGGGTCTTCAGGGTGGCGGCTCGGGTGATCGCAGATTCACCACCCCCCAGTTGGTGCCATGTTATCGACTACATTCGCCACTCCATACTCCACCGACGGCGCCTCGGAGAAAGATGTGGAGGGGAGCGCCGCTTTAAGGAGGGCACGATCCATCGTGACGGGAGCAATCAATCTCTTTGCCCGTCCCACCCCCGCGGCTCGCGAATTCCTAGCTTCCTCGATGCCGGTGCTGGAATCGAACGGCCTCAATCTCGCCATTCGTTCGGATAAAGGGGCGCCTTTTTATGACCTGTGATTCAACTGTCTCTGGATCCCTAACATAATAAGCCAGCCATATCACTTGGCGCCGCCCTGAATTGGGCTCATCACCAGGGGGGGTGGGGAAATCATTTTTTCAATTCGGAGTCTTGGTGTGGTTGGAACTTCTCAAAGCCTTCGTCAAGGTCGGTTATCTCATGCCGAAAGGCTACGCACGTAGCCCCTGTCCCGGACCGTTCGCAGAAGTCCTCGAGGCCCAGGAAGCTATGGTATCTTCGGCATCTACGTTGCAAATGATCACCTTTATCCCAAGACCCAAATTGTGATTTCGAGTCCCGCCGGTAGGGTCCCAGCTGGACAACAGCAGGTCATTTACCTATCTGGGATGTAGCGGTTTTTCGAGTGGTTCACGTCGGAGCCCCGGATTTGCATGAGTGGTATACGCCCCTCCTCCATTTGGGATCACTTGATCGACGATTCTCGGTTCTACCCACTGTAAATTATTAAGGGGGTTGTCACCTTCGAAGATCGACTGCGGTCATAGCGCGTTCCGCCTGTGCAGAGGTGAGATTATTTACTCGTGCACCCACCTTAATTTGCACGTGATACAGGCCTATAAACCAGAGTGGCCCAGTCACAGTATACATACTGCGCTATTTGGGGCTCCATCTAAAGCCTGTCGTCTGGGCGGAGTAGACGTATGAATTGAGGTATTAACCAGGCACCCGCCTGAAGTCTGCAAGACATAAAAAAGCAGGACTGCTTGCGCGCTCTCAAGTATATAAACTTGCGAGAACAAAGTTTTCCGAAGTATAGTTATGTCTGGATCATGAGCTTCAAGTACGCACGACTTTCGCCTCGGGTGTGGCAGCCAAGAAATAAATGATTAAGGCCTTGTGTCACCTCCAAATGGGTAAAACACGTGAGGGAAACGCACACAAGTTGTCACGACGAGAGCTCGGATCCGTTTAAGCATGAGAATACTATTCGTAGCTGAGGTACCAAGGATATGTATGGCTGAAATGAAATGAAGAGTCGTGTGCGAGTCTTGTGGAATGCTATATGTTCGTGGCATGTCCATGGATATTGGACGTCCGGGTGCTTGATCTCGGGATCTTAGTTCTTCTCCCATCCTCCCAATTCAACGGCGAAGGACACAGCCAGCTTCGAAAATTCGAGCATGTGGTCAAAGCTGAATTCCGGGGAGATGTCGATGCGGCTAAGGGAAGCAAATAGTCAATACGAATTCTCCCCTACAAGGATATTCAGTTTGCTTACTCTCGGGCGGAGTGAATGTTCTGATTGGAGTTCTCAAACTTGCTCTCTGGAGCAGGGTGATTCAAGAGTTTAGTGTGAGCGTTAAACTTGCTGAAATAAGGAAGCTTAAATACTAACCAATGGAGAATGCGGACGGATAGCCTGCTTTACCCCACGACGCGTGGTCGCTACACGCGTATCCACACTTGGTCTCGGCGTAGGGAATGGCAAGGTATTCGTCAACAAGGCTCTTGACAAATTCGGTAAGGCTATAACGATCGAGCAAGCATATGGAGGGGTTAACATGACGTCGATCAGGTAGAGATCGTCGAGCCAGGGAACTGACTCAAGTGAGACATAGTCTGTGATAATGCCAACTTCCTCACGTGTCCCCTTCTTAACCCAGGCAGTCATGTCGAACTTTACGTATTAGGAAGTATCTGTTAGTAGCCAAGAAAGGAATCAACTTAGTCGTAGAAACATACC